TCTGGTCTAGTAATTGAAAGGAGTGTTGAAATTTCCAGACGTAATTGTGGACTTTTACATTTATCCTTTTAATTCCTGCCTCACGTATTTTGAGCTCTGTTATTAGAGTGCTTACCCGTTTAGCATGGTTATTGCTTCTTGTTGAATCAGTCTTGTTGTCATTATTATTTTATCATCATCATATTCATCATCCCCTTCACTGGTGCCAATATTCCTTGTTCTGAGGCCAACTTTTGCTGATGCTAATACCACCCAGCTTTTTTTGGTTAGTGCTTGCATGGAATTTGTCTCCTAACCTTTATTTTCAACCTATTTGTGTCTTTGTAATCTCCTGTAGAAAACATAGTGGCTCTTGCTTTCTAATCCAGTCTGACCATCTCTGCTAACAATTAGAATATTTATTTCCATTTAATGTAATTATTGATAGTTTGGATTTAAATATACCATCTTGCTTTTTTTTTCCCCCCTATTTTTCCCATCTGTTGTTTGCTGTTCTTCTTTTCCGTCTTTTCTTTTGGATTAATTGAATATTTTTCTTTCTTTCTTTCTTTTTAAGATTTGTTATTTATTTATTTTTAGCTGCATCGGGTCTTAGTTGCAGCATGCAGGATCTTCGTTGAGGCACATGGGCTTCTCTCTAGTTGTAGTGTGCAGGTTTTCTCTTCTCTAGTTGTGGCGTGCAGGCTCTAGGGCGTGTGGGCTCTGTAGTTGCGGCACATGGGTTCTCTAGTGGAGGTGCGTGGCCTCAGTAGTTATGGCACGTGGGCTTAGTTGCCCCGTGGCATGTGAGATCTTAGTTCCCTGACCAGGGGTCGAACCCGCGTCCCCTGCATTTTGAGGTGCATTCTTTACCCCTGGACCACCAGGAAAGTCCCCGAATATTTTTATGACCCTGTTTTACCTCCTCTTGGCTTATTACCTATATCACCTTGTTTCATAATTTTTAATGGTTCTAGAGTTTACAGTATATATCTTCAATTTTTCAGCCTCTACTTTCAAAGAATATTATGTACTTAATATGTAGTGTAAGAACCTTTCAATATTGTACTCAGAGCACCACCGTTTTTTGTGTTAGTGTAGTCATATATTTTTTGCATATCTCTTGTAAACTTTACCATAGATTTTTATTACTTTTGCTTTAAATAGTTAACTTGCTTTTTTCATATCTCTGTATAGACTCTATACATATTTTAATGGCTGCAGAGTATTCCATCATTCTGATATCATAGTTTGCTTAGTCTCTCTCTTATTTTTGAGGTAGAGTTGATTTACAGTGTTGTGTTAGTTTCTCGTGTACAGCAAAGGTGAGTCAGTTATACATACATATTCTTTTTTCATATTCTTTTCCATTATGGTTTATTGCAGGATATTGAATATAGTTCCCTGTGCTATGCAGTAGGACCTTGTTTTTTTATCTATTTTATATATAGTAGTTTGTATCCACTAATCCCAAACTCCTAATTTATCCCTCTCCCCACCCACCCCACCCCCCCAGGTTAGTTATCTTTTTAAAAGAGTTTACAAATGAGAGGGGTCTTTGGCCCACATCTTCATCATGTGTAGCCCCACATCTCCACTTGGGGCCATTTAACTGGAACTGCCTTTAACATTTCTTGTCCTGCAGGGAAGCCTCTGTTTGTCTGACTGAGAGCTTTTATTTTGCCCTCATTTTTAACCGTTACTTTTGTTCAGAATTCTAGGCTGTAGGTCAGGTCTTTGCTGCCCAACCTGTTTCTGATGCGCAGTGGCGTTGTTGTTCTTCTCTTTGCTCCTGTAGACCGAAGGGGTGATTTCCTCTGCCTGCTTCTCAGCTGTGTACTTCTCACTGGTGTTTAACAGTTTTGCTCTGTGTGACTTGGTTGTTAGCTTTGGTTTACTGTGCTTGGGATTGCAGGAGCTTTTAAGATATGTCAGTTTACAGTTTCATCAAATTTGGGAAATCTTCAATGATTTAGCCCCTTTTTTCCTGGGACACAATTACCTGTGTGTTAGACATCTTGATTTTGTCTTACAAATGCTTTGTTTGTTTTTCTCAATCCTGTTTCTCGCTGTGCTTCATTTTGGATATTTATTTGTATTACTTGTCTTCAGGTTGATTGATACTCCGCTGGGTGTAATCTGCTCTTGTCTATCTCATGTATTTTTTCTTTCAAGATACTTTTTATTTTTCATCTCCAGAAGTTCCATTTGCGTATTTTTGCATCTTTGGTCTCTCAGCTCACCATGTTTGTTTTCCTCTACTTTCATGAGCATATGGAGTTTATTCATAGTCTCCAGTTCCAGGTCCTTGCCTGTTGGTCGCATCGTCTCTGTTATTTGGGGTCTGTTTCTGTGGATTGGTTCCCCTCCTGGTTATGTGTTGTATTTTCCTGCCTCTTGGCTTTGTTATTGGATGCTGGACATTGTATATTTCACATTGTTGAAGTGTTGGATTTTGTTGTATTCTTTTAAACTGTGTTGGACTTGGGCATAACACAGTAACTGAAGTTAAATGTGAGATGTGCACCGTGAGGTGACACGTTTAAGGATTTACCATATGGTAGCCACGCGCCCTGTTTTGAAAGGTCTGAAGCTTCCTCCCATGTCAGTAGGAAAGGTTTTTCAGGTTCTTGGCCGCTGTTCCGAGTCTGCCCAGGGTACCAGGCAGCGTCACTGGTGCTCGTGTGCAGTGGCAGGTGGGTCAGAACGGGTCCTGCTCTCACGGAACTGATCTTCTTGTGGTGAAGACAGGTCTAAAACAGGAAAACCCCAGGAATTCAGATAGCAGTTTGTGATGTCAGAGATTAGCCAGGGTGACCAAGGTCAGGAGGCGGCAGCGCACCACGGATGTGAACAGGGTCACTTGAATGTGGAGGGTGGTGAGCTAGTGACGGGAGACCCATTCCCAGACCCGAGAAGGGAGCTCTAAGGATACAGTCGTGGTGCATCCAGGGAGCAGCCACTCGGGGTCAGGGGAGGGCTCGAGGACACGCTTGGAGCAGAGGGGCTGCTGGGAGGCTGGAGCAGCGGCCGGCGGGCTCGCCGGAGCAGGGGCTGCACCTGGTCCCTCGGCCTCCGAGTGGTAGGAGTGGGCCAGTGCAGCCGGGGACCAGGAGGGAGGCCTCTGCCGAAGAGGCCAGGTGCCGACCACAGCAGAGGAGCAGTGTTTGCAGGGCAGAAGGTGGTGGGTTTGGAGCTGAGACGCAAGAATTGAGAACTGGTTCAGCCGGCCCCCCTGAGTAGGTATCTTTTAGCTGAGGCGTGATTGATGGAGAGAATTCTTCTTTTGTCGGAAGCCATTCAAAGGCTTAGTAGATTAGCCCTCTGGGTGAAGGGAGCAAGTGCAGTGAAATAAAAGCAGACGTTGGTCCTGGCCAACCTTGAAGCCAGCGGGAAGACATGAGAGTCTGTTCAGATGGTGTGGGCGGGTCTTTGCAGGGATCTGTGTGGTCTCATTCGTGCGTTAAACACCACTCTGGCTGCTGCTTGGAGAACGGACCCTCGGTGTGCAAGGCGGCTGTAGCACTGTGGTATCCAGGCCTGGGGTGGGTGACAGTGGCCTCGGCTGGGCTGGACACGTGGGTGGGGTGGAGTGTGGGTGCGTGGGGGGTGGAGGTGGGGCGCGCGGCCTCGCTGCTCTCGGGGAGCAGCCTGCTTCCTCCACCACCGCCTCAGACCCGTCTCGTCTGACCGCCCGTTCCTGCCCCTCGCTGACTTGTCCGTCAGACCCGTGGCCTCTCCAGGCACAGTTAGAATCCGCATTGTCTCATTGTCAGGAATGCATGTCCCATCTGCAGAAAACACAAGTGTCTCATCTGGTTCAGAGCTTCTCCCCCAGCTTCCATGAATGACGTCGGCGTCACCCAAGGGCATGTTGCGGGGCTGGAGGGCAGCGGTGCCTGTCCTGCGGCCTTCCCCTTGCCACCCCCGCCCCCCACTCTTCCGTTCTTTGCTGGTCTCCCTGTGGTCCCCTCTGGTGCCCAGGCCCTGCGGTCCTCACAGGTCGTCCATGGCAGGTGGCTCTTGCCCATAGGAGGCCCTGTCGAGGTTTTCCTAGGCCTCAGTCGAGCCCTTGCACTGACTGCCTGCTGGGGACTGTGTGACACCCCCGTCCCCGCTCTGCCCCCGGTGTAACTCCAGGGTCCGCTCACCCAGCAGGAACGTTTTCGGGCTGGGGGTGTTCTTTAACGAAGGCGCAAGCCCTACCCGCGGCTTGGGAGTGGCTCCCCTGCTCCCAGCCCCTCCACTGGAGGACTTTCTTGCGCTTCATCCAGCAGTGGATGGGGTGGGGCCGCAGGCGGGGGCGTTGGCACCCAGCTGAGGGCTGAGCCGGGCTTGTCTCAGAGCCTTTGCACTTGACCTGACGGTGACGGGAGGAGGAGCGATGCTGTCCTCCCTTCAGGAGCCTTTCCTGTGACTTGGCCCTTCTCTTCAGGCCACTGGGGCGCTGGCCGGAGCTGGCTGCCCTGCTCACGATCCCTGGGGGGACGTGCAAGCACCTTCCTGCACTGTGTGTGGGTCCTCAGCCCTAAACCTGGAGCCCACGTCCCCTAGGGACCAGGTGGCGGCTGTGCGGGTCATGGGACCATGTTCTTAGGCAGGGGGCGGTGAGGGGTCGTGATCTCCATGGCGGCCGCGGGGTGGCAGGGTCTGAGCCCACCTCCTCCTGGACGTTGTGGGGCAGAGGCTCAGGTTTCTGCCGAGCGGCGTCCCCCGGGATGGTGGTTGCAGGTACCAGTTAGGGCACTGGGAGTAGAATCGCTCTTTTTTAATGTGTGAAGGAGATTCATGGACCGTCCTCGTGGGGTTATGATGTGACTATCAGAAGGTAGAAAAATAATCGGTTCCAGACAAAATTCTTGGGTGTCAGAGAGAAAGTTTCCTATGTAGTGTCGGTTGAAATATTTTCTTTTTGATGTGTAGGTTTTCCATTTTTTCTAAAAGGCATTGTCCTGAATACTTAGTAACGAATTTGGGCCGTGAGCATTACTCATAATGAGTCTGTTCTCTTTTCTCTAAAGCAGGGTCAAGACTTCCTTCTTCACTCCCCGCTCGGCAGCTCGCAGCCCGAGGCCGGTGGCGGGAGGCTCACCCTGGGCGCTCAGCCGTTACCCACAGCCGCCCCCTCGGACACCGCGTGCGCCTGCGAGGCCTGCAGCGAGCGCAGGTACGGGTATGGGGGGGCCCTCCGCCTGCGGGGGGTGGGGTCCTCCTTCATTGCTGCCCTTGACGACTGGTGGGAGGAGGCACGTCCTCACAGAGGGCGGGAGCCTCCCCGAAACAGTTAGGGTCTCAGGTCGATGGATGCCTCCGACTTGGAGGCTGGGGAGGCCGTCACTGCTGCTGCCAGAGGCCTGGGAAGAGGAGCCAGACGCGCGGGTCCTGACTGGTCTCGGGTCCCGGCTCGGCCGAGGTGGACCAGGGCCCACGGGAGCCTTGACAACCAAGGGCCCTGGGGGCTGTGCCGGGGCTGATGGCGCCGGTCCTGTGGGCGTTTGTCCTCAGGGAGATTTCGGCTGAGGCGGAGCGGGAACCTCAGCAGCTGCAGAACTACTGGTCGGAAGTGCGCTACACAGTCCGCTGCATCTACCGGCAGGCGGGCACCCCGCTGGCGGACGACCAGGACCAGTCTCTGGTGCCCGACAAGGAGGGGGTGAAGGAGCTCGTGGACAGGTGCGTGTTGCCCAGGCGCGGCCCTCCCCCACCAGCCGCCCACCCGGGCTTCCCCTCTGCTCGGGGGGACTCCCCTCTCGGGGTTGGGAGAGCTTGTCCCGCGAGCTCGGCCCCGGGCACGTGGCAGGCCTGCAGCAGACGGGCTGGGTGAACTCTCAGATTCTCATTCTGATGGAAGGCTTATTACCCGTGTAATGAAAGCGAACGTACTTGTCTCCTTCCTTAGTGTTGAGGCTGACAGTAAGACTCCTTCTGGGCACTTGCTGTGCCCGCGATGGCGCTGAGCACTTTCTCAGGCACTCCTGCTCTATTGCCCTGCGGAGGAGAGGCAGTTATGCCGCTTAGGAGATGAGGAAACCCAGGCCCCGTGAGGTCCGGTGGCGGATGGAGAGCCATTTGTCACAGGCCCGTTCACACAGGTGCTCCTCACTGGGCAGGGCTCCCGGCAGGGCGCTCGCGCAGGCGGGGACCTTGTGCTCAGTGACAGCACAGAGTTTGAAGTGGGTGTAATTTTTATTCTTCCTTAGAGTTTGTACCATTTGTTTCCTCTGTTTGGAGAGGTTCCCAATAAAAGCAGTAAATTTGAGCGAGACGTTCCATGAACTGATTCTCATTTTGGTCCTTTTTTCATGTTTTGAATGCAGCCCCTTTGGGGTTCTGTAACCTCTTGTTCGCTGTACTGTAGAGTTCCTCCTGGAGATGGGGGTGGTGACTGGCTATGGGCTGTATTAACTAGTTAGTGATTCGGCCGGTGTGTCTAGGGTTTGACTACGTGAAATGGCTCTGGGTGGTGTGTGCCTTTTTTAGAAGTTAGGTTTCCTAGTGAATATTAGGAACGCACATATAACCTGCATGTCACACTTGGAGCTTCACAGCTTGTGAATGCTTCGGAAGAGGCCAGAGTAAAATCAGAGACAATTGGAAGGAAATGCTCAGTAAACGATTGTTCAGATGGGACGTTACGGCAGAGAGGTTTGGGAAACAGCAGTATTCTAGTAACGAAACACACCGTTAAGAATGGAAACATTCCACGCCGCCATTTGAGGTCCGGGTATATATATGTCGCGTGTTTTCCACATGTTTTCCACGTCCTACGCTTTTCCTCATCTCCATGTCTAAGGACCCTTCTCTTGTCTGAACGCCAGCACACACCGGGAAGGGCCGTCTGTAAAGGCCGTGTCTAGGACCTGACAGCTGGCGGCGATTCTCCTTTGCCCCTTTCCGTGGCCCTTGGCATCCTGCCGCTCTGCCTCCCCCTCCCACCGCCCCCCATTTTCGCACATCATCACTGCGTTCAGCCACACTGGCTCTCGTGCCGTCCTCCACAGACCTGCTGGTTTCTTCTCTTCGCTCGGTCTGGAATGTTCTTCCTTGCTCAGGGTTCTTTTTCCTCCCTTCCATCCTTCACTTTAGACTTCAGAGTCACCATCTCAAAGAGACCACCTGACCTAAACTCCGAGGGGCCTCCCGCATCATTCTTTATCAACCCTTCCCTTCTTTTTTATCGTGTTACTGCCGCCACTACCTGGAATTACGCTCTGTATGTGTGTGTGCTCCGAGCATCCAGCGGCCTGAGAGTTTGTTCTCCTGGCGTCTTCCTGCTGTGGCTTTGACACAGCCGCCTGGGCCCAGTGCTTGTTGAACGCACAGCTGGGTGAGCTTCCACAGCATCTTCATCTTCCTGCCCCTTGGCCATAGCGCTTTTTACAAGTCTACTTGCAAAAGTACCATGTGGTCAAGTCATTAAATTTATAAGATACAGAAATGGACAAAGAAATAAAATGCAACGCATGTCTAATTCCAGCAGGCGAAGAGAACCAAGAAGGAGGCATCCAGTCTCCTTGTAAGTTCGATTGTCCCTGTGTCATTTTGAGTCTTCTGTGACTTTCCTTTAAGAGATGAAATACCTTCTGTTTCAGAGAACAGTTGCTGTACTGGTAATTAAAATTATGATTGTCATGCTAAGCTAGAAAGTCAATATATCTGTGTGAAGTAGACTCACCACAGTGGGAGTCCCATCGGTTCTTACTGTTTCTCTGGCCACGTTTTTTGTAAGGCTACACAAGTTCCATTTTCACTCGGCTCTTGTCTTTTACAACCTAGGTAGTGTGGTCACTTAAAAGTGGAATAGGTGACAACTTACAGTCTTCTCTTTTGACCCAGCGTGGTGCCCAGAGGTGAAAGGATCCACTACCCAAATCCAGGAGCTACAGCTTAATGTATTGTACAGCGTGGGTGCGGAAGTCACAGCGGCTCCTCCTGGTGACGGGCTCCAGGCGGGTGCTGTGGTTGTCCCAGCGGCTCCTCCTGGTGACGGGCTCCAGGCGGGTGCTGTAGTTGTCGCTTCATCGGATGTAGGTTTCCATCTGGAGGCTCCTCAGAAGTGCACAGCTGAAACGAGTGGTCACTTGAAACATAGTCATGCCAGTTACTATAGAACAAGTTTGTAAAAGTTGATGCTCTCCAAGTTAGGGAAGAAATTCGTGAAGATGATCGTTGCTGTGTGGCCTGATGGGGCGTGTATTGACTTGTTGTCTCTGACCTTCAGCTTACACATTTTCTCTTACCGCCTTTAGTATCTTTTGGTGGGATGATTTAAAAGGAGATACACTGTCTGTAAAGTTTCTTCTGATTATGAAAATAGTAGAAGCAGCCCATTTGGATCAGATACTGAATTCCTAGGAAGAAGGAAGAGCAGCCCGCTCCCGTGCTGCAGCCAGGTGTCACCTCTGGGGGCCGTGGCTTTTCCGCTGTCCGCATATAAGCGTTCAGAGATGAGTGCTGGGGTCTCCCGGGCTTGGCAGTTCTGTGGCCCCCGCGCGGCTCCGCTGTGCCCACTCTGCTACCTGCTGGCTGCCTGAGTCCGGGGACTCGCCCAGCCATGTGGCTTCGCGTCTGACCCGGCGTCGCCTTGGGGGTTGACAGCGAGCTCTCAGTGGACGCCGGTCACTGCTGTTTGGCCAGTGACTCTGGGGGCTCCCCCTCTGTCAAGCAGGCTGACTGTGAGAAGATGGCGGTCGTTGTTAGGTGGGCACCCCCAGGCTCCCAGGGTCCCCCTGCGGGCGAGTGGTGACTCTCTCTCCTGTGCAGGCTCTGCGAGCGGGACCCCTACCAGCTGTACCAGCGGCTGGAGCAGCAGGCCAGAGAGTACGTGCTAGAGATGAAGGTCCGGCTCCTGCGGCAGCTGTCGGCCGCGTCCAGGGTGAAGTCGCCGTCCGCCCTGCAGGGCCCCCCGCAAGCGCACCAGTTCATCTCCCTGCTCCTCGAGGAGTACGGTGCCCTGTGCCAGGCGGCGCGCACCATCAGCACCTTCCTCGGCACCCTGGTGAGTCGGCTATGTCCCCTGCCCGGGACGGGGGGCAGGAGCGGGGGGTCTGGAGGCCCGTCACGCCCCTCCCCTCCTCCGAGATGTGCAGGCGGGGCTGGGGGCCTGATTCCTCTCCTCTTTCTCTCCCCTCTGGACTTGGCTGCTGGATGAAAGCGGAAATACTGCTCGGGGACCTTGGGTCCTGGGGGCACGGTGTGGGGACCGTGTGAGGTGAGGGCCGGAGTGGGTGACAGTAGGAAGGAGACAGAGGAGTGGCTGTGCTGTGAATTCTGCAGATGGGGGCTGTGTTCTCAGGTGGAGTGCAGAGCATGGGGGACGGCAGGGCACCTGTGTCCGGCCCCCCGGCTCACCATTACTGATCTACTCACCAGCCCAGCGCTGGACTGAGGATAGGGTCATAGAACCACGTGAGACGCTGACCCCCTGTGGGCGGTCTCTGACTGCCTCAGAAGGGAGATGACCACAGCGGGGTGGAAGGAGGCCTCTGGTAGAAACTCAGTTCCTGGGCCTGGGCCTCGACAGCCTCAGGCGCACCTGCCGGCTGGACAGAGGGACAAGCCGTCTTTGCTTTCTCGACTTACTAATAGTCTGTGGAGTTTCTCATCATCACTCAAATTTTACTGTTAAGTGAGAGTTCATTGGGCTGGTTTTGGGTGCTTTCTTAGTGGTAAAACTGCATTTTGAAACAAATGCAGTAACCAGTGGTTCCGAAGGTTTTAAGCATAAGGTCTTTATGTGACTCTAAAGTTGATAGACCTCGATAGAAAAATTAACCATTTTGCAGGTAGTTTCGGGGGGTTCACAGAGCTCCTCAAGCGGCATCACTTCAGTAGAGCATTGCCGTTCCCGCAAGTGAGTCCCGAAAACCTCGAGGGAAGCACCCACCGTGAGAAAATGAGCGGGTGAATGCATGGGCGGGCGGTTACCCTCTTCAGCACCGAGCCTGAGGGGCTGACCCCCGGGCGTCCCAAGCAGCACCCGCCCCTGGCTCGCTGAATGTCTCCCCGTCCTCCAGAAGTCCAGCTCCCCTGCCGCTTCCCCTGTGCCATCACTGGCCTGAGCCTGGTGCACAGAGCGGTGCGGAGAGCTGCGGCTGCCCCCCAGCCAGCCAGGGCCAGCTCAGCCTCACCCTCCCCGGCCGGTTAGAGCGCACGCCATCTTACTCAGCTACCGGAGAATAATTGGAGCCTAAGCTCTAAGCTCAGAATACGGCTGTTTGGTCAGTGATCTGTTTCACTTGGCTTTGCACGTGGAGATACTCACTTTGGTTTCCAGTGAGACACCACACCAGTAACCTGGACCCTTCCTCCCTCCAGGGGAGACAGCTGAACTCTGGATGACACAGGCTAAATCAGGGTAGAACCTTTTAAAACGCATTGCTGAGTTGGCATGAAAGGCAAGAAGCCTTGGCGGGAAAAGCAACGCGAAAGCTGGTGGAGTCCTGAGAAAGTCCTGTGCTCAGAAGCCAGCATTCCCTCCAAAGATTTCTTCTCGTCCTGGGAGAAAGGAGGTACAGCCTAGGTCCAGCACGTAATGCTGGGACCACAGATGATCACAGCTTCTGTGAGGGGGCAGGAGAGACCCTGCCCACAGGAGGGACAGCAAGGGCCTGTGCCTAGGGTGACCTTGGCAGGGGTGGGGGGCTGTTGATGTGATGTGAAAACCCCCAAACCTAGAAGTCAGCGAGTCGGGCAACACGCAGATCCCCTCTGCGAGCTCACTTCATCCCATGTAACCACTGTACCGTTGTCACACCTGAGAAAAGTGATGGTGATTTCTGTGCGCTCAGAAAAATGTCCCAGTTATCTCAAAAATCTCGTTTTGTGTTTGGGGTGTTCAAACCGGATTGAGGACAGTTCACGGATTTGTAACAGCGTCTTTCCGGGTCTACCCCGTGATCTGAGCAGGGTAGGAGTTGACAGAGCCGAGGTGAGCTTAACTTCCGAGTCCGTGTCTCAGAGTCTCAGCATTTTTGGACTTGGACGCCTTTCCGTTTAAAAACGGAGAGCCCCAAATAGCATTTGTTTGTGCAGATATTATCTATCAATATTTACTGTGGTGAAATTAAAACGGAGAAATTTAAAGATATTCATTAAATCACTTTTAAAATAACAGCTCATTGCATAACATAGACAGCATATCTCTAAATAAAAATACTGTTTTCCAAAACAAAACGTTTAGTAAGAAGAGGGGCACCGTTTACATGTTTGCACATCTCTTTAGTGTGGCTTAACGGAGGACATATGTGTTCTTACATCTGCTTCTGTGCTCCGTGTATCTTCATAGGTTGTTTCGGTTGAAGTTTTTGAAGAAAATTGGGCCTCCCACAGATATGTATTTGGAAGAATAGTCTAATAGACTTTTCAGTTTGTTGTGGAAATTCTTCTTTGAGAGAATACACCGGAGTCCCAGTGCTTCTTAATGGTTAGCTGCAGTGTAGAACCTGAAACCGGGTCACTGAGCTGAGCCGGCTCTGTTCCGTCACAGTCCACTGGTGTGGCTCACGCTTCAGGTCGTTTTCTAGCATCAGACGTCGGTCATTTTGAAAACACTGGTTCACCGAGTGAGCTACACAGATCTTGCTGAAGATATTCAGTGTCATGTTAGGCAACATGATATTCAATATAAAAAATGGCCTTTGTCACCATCCCTGTGACCCTCCTCAGAAAGATCTTTAAATGTGGAGAAGCTTCAAGGCCACAGTGGCAGATGTAAGTTTTCCAAAGTTCTGATGTTTGCTTGAGAGCTCGGATTTTGGGCTTGGCCACAAGTGGGGTCAGTTGTCCCTGAAGCGGCAAGCCCCCTCGCCGTGCACACTTGCCGGCTCACGCTGTGCTCACTCCCTTAGCCTCTCTGGAGACAGCCCCTCCGGCCCTCCTGCCGCCGCAGGGCCACGGACCGTGTCAGGGCGTAGAGAGGTGTCTTCAAACACAGGCCTTTCCTGGGAAATGTGCTCGTGTCCTGGGCATCAAACCGGCCACAGGTTTTCTAATGTTGTACACACTGAAATAAAGCTGGGACCAAAGTCAGGCCTCCATTCACCTAGGAAATGCCTTCCCAGGCTGTAAGAATTGTGAAATCCGAATTTCCATTTACAAGGCCAGAAGAATCTTGGATCTCCAGCTGTTTCTCAAGCTCTGCTGTAGGACTTGACTGTACACACTTCCTCTTTCTTCTTCCAACCCCCAAGCACCTCCCTGCAGGTGAAGTGAGAAGTGAGAGTGGTTTGGGCGGAAGTGCCTAGGCTCAGGCCACCCGGGAGCTTTTCCTTTGGCCTCCGGCGGGGGCAGCACCAAGTCTCCGCCGACCCCCGGGTCTCGTCTCTCGTAGCAGCTGTGGCAGCACCCCCCCGCACACCCCGTGCCCCCAGGCCCAGGGCATGTTGCTCAGCCTCTGCACACTGTTTCTGGCCTGTGAATGGGGCACGGCAGCACCAAGTTCAGGGTGGCCCACGGGAAGTACTCGCACTTCTAGCGTGTGTTGTCGTCCCAAGTTGATCTGAGGTTGGGAAGCGAGCTTGGGGTCTGCTGTTTCTCTTGCATGACTCGCCTGGAAGTATAATTTCAGATTTCATAAAAAATGTCAAACGTCTTCCTCATAAGTCGGTCTTTACCTTTATTACCTTTAGTTAATGTGAGCCCAAATCCAGAGCTGTGGTCCCACCCTTGCAAGTATTGTAACTCAGTGCCCAGGGTTGCTCACAGGCTGGCGGGCAGGGACTGTTGACTCTGTCCCAGAGATTGGCTCTCCTGGACGCCTTCCCTGGACCCTCTGTCATCTGGCTGAGGGCCTAGTCTGGCTGCTGCCTTAGCTCCTTTGTCATGGAGACAAATCATAAATCAGACCGTCGCCAATCCTCTGTCCCCCGGGGACTCGCGGCAGTCAGGGACCTGCTGCGCTAGTCTCTGTGTCCTCGTGCTGGCACAGCGCCTGTGCAGAGTGGTCTCTGCTGAAGTGTGTGACACATGTCCTTTCCTCACTGCCTCGGTGGCTATGTCATTATTACAAGCACGTTCTTAAAATTATGTGCTTGTAATCAGGCCTCATTCCAGGCCTTGGGCCTAGTTTTTCGGTTCCCAGGCCCTGGTCTTCTGCCCCACCCAGCTTTCCTGTATCGTAATTGCTCCGAGAGATGCTGCGTGTGAAACAAGAATGATAAAACTTAGACCTGGGAGGCACTGGTGTTTCGGTTAAACGTGCAGTGAGGACAGGCACTGGGAACGTTGCCAGAGTCAAGGGCTTGAGGCTCCCTGCAGGTGCCACAGACGCCCTCCTGCAGGTGCCATAGACGCCCTCCTGCAGTTGCCATAGATG